CCAATTGTATAGCTCTCGTTAACTTTTGGTTCAAGGACCCGCTGAAGAAGAAACACGTTCCAGTTTCAGTTGAACTTGCCCTTCCGGCTAAGTGAAGCAAGATATATGAGAAAATTGTAGGCACAGTAGATCAGTCGAACAAAGGATAATAGAAACACAAAAACGAAAATTGAAGTAGAAGGATAGGAGTTAGTCAAAAGAGAAAGGTTTCGTGCTGTAGCACAAAAGTTCAAATGACGCTTTAAGAAGTAGAAGGCAGCAGCAGTATGCTGGCACTGCGTACCGGAGCTTTGCTGCTGCGCAACCGCCACCGGTCGTACGTGGGCTACGGATACTGCGAGGGTCGCTCTGCCCCTATGCAGGCTCAAACCCGCGCCGTCAGATTACAAGATCTCTAGCTTTAGGCTACAGGCCGGCAATGACACTTCAACTGAAGCGTAGCTTTAATGCTATTAACAGTAAGCTCCCTGGCCACATGCTCCAGAATAAAGTTTCAGTGTTCGATAACAAAGCGACAACAGCTTCCTAGTTCATAGTTGTAGAGAGCAGAAGGGAAAACCCGCGTCAGCTCCATCACCTCACGTTCATTGGCTGGATGACACATCTTTGCTAAACTGTGTTCCCCGAGGGATTGTTGCAGCTGCAGAAAAACAGCGGAATCCAGGCATGCTCAGCATGTATTTGTCCAATCGTTCTTTAAAACATTCCTCTGTCTGGGCACTTACCATGTATTCAGGGAGATTGTTTCATTCATTCACAACCCGTGTGGATAAGGCGATATCGGACCGGATATGGTTCCTGTGGCCCCGTGTTGAACACTCTGTGTTGAGCTGGAAGAACTGCAGCACCTCCTTCCCCAAATCGCCCCTTAAAAGGCGTCTAGTATAAAGAAGATCACCACGGCGACGGCGGTAGTCCAGAGTAAATAAGTACATACATTGGAGACGAAGGAGATAAGGTGAAACACGTAGCACAGACACAGACTTGGATCCGCGCCTCTGAACCTTCTCAATCATCTCACATTCAAATTTCGTGAGTAGGTGTATGGTAGGTAGGCCGTATTCCAATAGTGGATGAACATGGGAAGAAAACATGAGCATGAACTTCTGCGGTGTCAGTTTGTAGATCGACCTTCGTATGGCACAGAGCATCCTATTGGCAGAGGCCACCTTCCGCAACGTGTCCTGGGTTGTTCTTAGGTCTGGAGAAACGAACACACCCAAATCCTTTTCACCAACCACATTCTTCAGCAGAAAGCCACCAATGTGGTAGGCACCGAAAGGTTCCTGATCACCGATCGGGAGAACGCAGCACTTATCACGATTGATAGGCATTTGCCACTTGAAAGACCAATCGTGCAGAAGATCCAGCGTCAGTTGCAACCTGTTAGCATCTTCAAGCCTGGATACTTCTGACCACAGTTAAAGATCATCCGCATAGATCAAGCAGTCGATTTGGAGCACCTCCGGAAGATCGTTGATAAAGATTTTGAATAGTTCGGGACCAAGAACGGAGCCTTGTGGAACGCCACTGGTCATAAGAACAGGACCAGAGCCAACTCCGTTAACCTTCACCCTCATACTACGGTCGTCTAGGAAATCAGCGATCCAGGCGAGCAAATTGCCAGCGATGCCAATCTGCCGAAGTTTGATAAGAAGTCGCTTGTGTGGAACCCTATCAAACGCTTTGCTGAAATCCATAAAAACCACATCAAGGCGATGACAAGCATCCACCGACCGCGCCCACTTTTCTCGGACAACAAGCAGATTGGTAATGCAAGAGCGTGTCCTCCGAAATCCATGCTCAGCAGGAGATGACGTCCAATTTCTCAAAGTGAAGATGCAAGGCCTGTTTCAAAATCCTTTCCATGGTTTTACAGAGGATTCATGACAGGCAAATCGGTGGGTAGTTTACTGGATCTTGGCGATTCCCACCTTTGTGCATAGGTTTCACATTTGCTTTCTATTTAGTTGGGAGAAGACCCGCTTCAAGTGAGCTTCGAAATACTTGACAAATTGGTTCAGCAATAAACTCCGCCAACTCTTTGAGAAACAAGGGATGTAAGTGACCCAGCGAAGAATTAGAGTTCAAGTCGAGAAGCAGTTCCAGTACTCTGTCAGTGGTAATTTCGACATGGTCTAATGGAGAGGGGTGACAGGGAGTATCCTCAACAACCAATGGCGCTTCCGTCGTATACACAGAGAAATATTGCGAAGCTAGTAGACAAGCTTTCGCAGTCATCATGAAGCACGGTGTCCTCTTTGCTTGAATACAGTGCGGGTATACCGTTGCCAGCTTTGGTGCCTCTTTTTAGGTATGCGAAAAGCTTGTTCTAAATAATCGCAGATTGCAGATCGACCAGGTGCTGCTCAGATAATTCTCGCTTTTCGCGTTTCCTCAGGGTGCATAAATTTCTAACTTCTTTGTAATGAGCGTAATCTTGCGCCGTCTGAGTGAACTTGAACCGGCCCAAAAGTTTTCGCCTTCTCCATGGGGGTCCTTTGGAGAGGTTGTTGTGACCCTTGGAACAACCCGATCAATGATAAACATCATCTTGGAGCACAAAAGGTCCCAAGCAGCATCGAGATCCAACTGATGAAGGATGTTCCAGTCCATGAGGTTAGCAGCCAATTTTAAGCGGAGGGTGTCAGCTCGCTAGAAATTTCGGCGTTGCATTTCTTGGACATTGATAGCTAACTGTCGTGTCCACAAAAAGGAGACTACACAGTGATCACTTTTGCCAAGAGGCTGAATAATGCCTAGAGCGGAGACATCTGATGAGCCAGGTGTGAGCACAAGGTCAGGGATGTGTCACATGGTCCGGAAAAAAACGGGTAGGTGATAAAACATGTTGCGTTAGATTACATTCGAGGACCATTCCTAATAAACGCGTATCAAAAGAATCTGGAGATAAATTACAATGGAGCGCATCCCAGTCTACGGCCGGAGCATTGAAGTCACCCACAATCAAGCAATCTTTGCTTCCCCGTGTATCCTAATAGTCTAGCAGATGGGATCCTGACCCCAAGGGGGATCTGTCGATAACGCCGACTGTGAGCGGTCTGAACCCATCGGGAACCCTACACCAAGGAATTTCCGATCCTTCATTGCTTCCATTGTGTGAACTTTAAGGTCTGACTTCCAGTAAAGAGCAACACCACCCCCGGATCTCCCTCCTAGACGATCCGCACGAGATAGTTGATACCCTGGAATAAATACCTCTGAGTCTGAAATATCCGAGGATAGCCAAGTCTCCGCAAAAGCCATCAGATCAGATTCTTGCTTCGAGGTCATGAGCAGTATCTCATCCAATTTGTTTCTCAAACTACGCACGTTCGCCGATATCACACGCAATCCCTCCTGATTCCCAGTGTACCGGAATAACGAAGATTGGTCTCCACCGAGTCCTCGGGATTGTTTTTACTACCCGAAAATCCATAATGTGAAGTTCGTTTTCACCAGCTGCTCGTCGGATTCGTAGTTCATCAACGGCCAGCTTCATTTTAACGCAATCTTCTGGGGGAGAGGTCTATAAAAACAGAACGTTTCCCCTTTCAAACGTGAGGTTCGCTGGAGGATTCGGCGGCATTCCTCTTCATCTTGACAGACAACCTTTAGGGGGCGAACTTTCGAGGACTCATCCTGCTTCCTGCCGAGGCGAAAAGCGGAAACGGCTTATGCCCTTTTCCCCAGCATCGAACAGTAAGGAAACCATCCGCCTCAGAAAAGCTTGGTCCACCAATATCCTTTCAGCCGAGGATTCCTTATTAGACTCAGGGGCGTTTACGATGATCAGACATCGTTCCCTCATAGGAAATGGGCTTCTTTCACTTAGATGCGGCTTTTGCGGGTAAGGATTTGCCTTGATCATATTCTCCAACTGATTCATTTTACCGATAACATGTTTTAACTGCGGATGAGAAAAGTTCGGAGTAAACCTAGATTTTGCAGCCTTCTTCGTCTTCCGAATATTTGGCGGAGTCTCTGGAATCATGGGTACCGCAGTTACGCTGCTGCTCACTACCAATGCATAAATCCTATCCTTGCATTCGTCGAACTGTCGAACAATGGATGATGGTTCTGGGGATGAAATTGAAGAAGCAAGAGTTTGCTTTCCAGGGGAAGTATCCGGGCCAGAAGCAGATAAAGGCAAAATAGGGAGCAGCGGATCGTTCTTTTTCTTTTGCACAGAATGCAGCCATGAGGGACATGGACTGGTTGGAGGTAGACCGTCCGAAACACGTCTGACACTCAGCCTAGATCGACAACGGTCACAAATAAAGATGACGACTGAGGAAATGGTCCTTTGCAGTGGATCGTATAGATCTGGACCGATGTTACAAAATGCAATATGAAGCCACCTTTCGCAGAAGGAACATTGAACAGCCTTTGAGCGAGAAGTGACAGCCTTACAAGAACCCAATCATTTTGAGGACATTGTATCTCTTATTCAGTAAATTCAGAATGAATGCTTAAGGTGGGAACGAAGCGCAACGGAGCTGGCTATCCGCTTCTGCCTTAATCTGGTCAAAGCGCAGCCTATGTGGCATCAGAGAATGGGTGCCGGACTAAATAGCCAAGAGAAGTCCGACCCAACCTCCCAGTGAAGTTACGGTAACAGACCTCCGCGCAGTAAGTGCATCCGAATACTAACTGGACACTTGACGTACGTCTGTTCACACATCTCTACCAACCTCAACAAGCAAATAGCAGTTCTATTTCGTCCCAGAAGCAGCAGCACTCGCAAGCCTGGACGCAGCATTGAAGAGAGCTCAACAAACCTGAGAACAGTTTCAAAGACAATGAGTGTTAAGGTTTTGAGGAAATAGTGTATCAATCACAAATGGAAATTTTCAAACAACATACTGGCTGCTAGAATCCTTGAAGAACGTAAGACAAACCAAACTACTGCACGGTGATTTGCGATTAATTATAAATAAAATAACAGGCAATGGGTCGAAACATAGCAAGTACAAAACGGAAGCATTTAAATTGCTCACATGATGTCAGAAGTTCTATGAAACACGTGAAAGTGACAAACGATAACCGCAGCAGGAAAAAGTAAAGGTCAAGTGAGGTCAGTTTCCAAGGACGAACCTAAGCTCCCGCCTAACGAACAAACCAGGACCTAGTACCCCCACTTCCAAGGTGTTTTCCTTGCCACTGCAAAGGGAATGATGCAAGACTAAACAATCTCTGTCAGTTTAAGTAATAACCCAAGGACGACAAGTTCAACTTCAGGTTCATGTGGGACCGGAACAGTAGGATAAATCCCCGTGAATGTTCCTTCCGTGGCGCTTCGATGATCCAGGGTATTATTCGTCCGCGATAACTGGAATCCAGAAGAGTCAGATCAGCGCGCGCGAATCACACCACGGTCAACCAATTAATACCCACGTGACCTGCACTGGCAGTCCCCGCCGCACCCGTCACGTGAAATAAGAAAGAGAAGTACGAATGAAATAAGCGTCAAGAAAAAAACGTAATAGATTTAATAATTCAATAAGACGAATAAGCTAGGAAGTGAAGGGGAATGTTAAGAATTGAAAGCCAAGAGCGTCGAATCGGTGTTCGAACGCTTTCACTGTTGGTGCCAATACCACGTTCTCGGGCAGTGCATTCCAGGAACCTAGCATTCGGCGTGATAAACGAAGGTCCTCCCGGACTTCATCCGATCGAGGTTTGTGCAGCTTCAGCGGGTGACCTCAGAGCGATGGAAGCCGAGCCGGTTGGAAAAGCCCAGATAAATCTGGTCCGCTTTTACCGGTAAGTGTACGATAGGTCAAGACTAGATCGCCTCGACGTTGACGATAATGCATAGAGAACATTCACAGCACAAGTAGTCTTTCTGGGTAAGAATGGTTCCGTAGTCCATAAACCACTTTTGTTCCAACTCTCAACACTCTCTCCACTGACACCCTGTCCTTTACTAAGCAAGGTGGACAAGCCTGGATGCAGTATTCTGAGTGTGACCTGACAAACGCTGAGAATAACCTAACAAACATAGCGCCCGTGTTGGTCCCGAATGTCCGGATCATCCATAATATTCTGAAGCCCTTGCACGTAGCATTCCTCCAGTTCACACTGGATTTAAGTTCTGAAGCCAACGTGACGCCTAGGCCTACCAATTGGGAAACGTGGAGTAGTTCATTACCGCCAAGCAAATAACGCGTTTGTGGGCTATTTGGCCCCATTTGTAAGATGGAACACTTTGCATAATTTATGGGCAACTGCTACAGAGCAGCCCAGTCCCGAAGTTTATCGAGGGCCCGTTGCAGAGTCTGGGGTCCATCGAAGTCAGACACTATGTGCCAAAACCTTAGGTCATCTGCACACACGAGAGTTGGTACCTCCAGCAGTTCGGGCAGCTCGTTGACATACAAGGAAAATAACAACGGGCCAAGCACCGAACCCTGAGGGACCCCACTGAAGACTGACTGACGGAAAGACAGACTAGACCCCACACGAACACACATCTCTCTCCCTTCCAGAAACATGGTGATCCATTTCAGTGCACACCCGGATATCCCATGGGACCGAAGTTTCAAGGAAAGACGAGAATGTGATACAGTGTCGAACGCCTTGGAGAAGTCAATAAACACTACATCTACTGCATGACCCCGATCCCAAGCATCCGCCCAACATTCGCGTGCACCTAGCAAATTGGTCATACAGGAATGACCTTTGCGAAGGCCGTGTTGCAGTGGACTGAGCAGACCAAACCCCCTCAGGTGGTCTTCAAGCACAGCTCTGACCAAATTCTCCAATACCTTGACCAGTACGCTTGTCAAACTTACCTATGTATAATTGGCAGGGAGATGCTTGTCGCCCTTTTTAAAAATCGGGCACACGATAGCATCCTTCCAGTCCTTGGGAAAGGAGCAGCTGCGAAGCGACAATTGAAACAAACGAGTCACTGGGCCACATAGCTCGCCTGCGAGTTCGTACAGAAGCTTAGGGTGAATATCATCCATCCCAGCGGATTTAGCAGGATTTAGCCCCTGAAAATGATGGAGAACTTTTGCCACGAAAATTGTGACGTGTGCTAAACAGGAGTACTGGGGGACTCTCATTGCTAGGTCAAGATGCGGTGATTGCTCATCCCGAACAAAAGTTCCGGCATACTGCGCACTGAGTAGATATGCTTTTTCGTGATCAGTGGTGGCAGTGGCGCCGTCGCTGCCTAATAACACTGGGGTAGATGAGGCAACGTTACTCCGCCGTTTGACGTAGGTGAAGAACCTTTTGCGACCCGCGGAGGCTGCGTTAGCCAGTTCCATTTCATAGCTAAGTCTAGTAGCTCGTAAATGACTCTGGCAAGCATTCCGAGCTTCAGGATAACGCCGAAAAGTACATTCTGAGAGAACTGTCCGGTAGATCCACCAGCATCTTGCCCGTCTATTTCCCGTTCATGTAGGACCGGAACAGTAGGAAAGTCCCGCGAATGTTCCACCTTGGAAAACGTCGTTGATCCAACAGGGAAACCGGTGCCTTGAAATGCCAAATGAGGGCCAAATCAACACACACGATTCATATGGTCAATCAAACAATGCTCACGCGCCCTGCACTAGCAGTCCCCGCTATGCCGGCCACGTGAAGAATAAAAGAAAACACTAGTGTCAGTAAAGAAAAGGAAACAGAGGAGAAGATAAGCTTATCGAATATCGAAGGCAATATTAACACGTAAGTTAAAACGAGTTGAAGAAGCGTAGGCCGTAGTAGACGAAGTAAAGTTTACAACATGAAGGGGAGGCTTTAAAGTGCAGACCGAGCGCGTCAAGCCGATGCTCGAACTCTTTCACTGTCGTGATGACAACGTCTGGTGGCAATGCGTTCCAATAAGCTATGACCCTACGCGATAACCGAAAAGCTGCCCAAACCCGGTCAGACCGGGGTTGTGCAACTTTAATGGGTGGCCACGAAGGGTTGGCACTTGAGTTAGGCGAGACAGTCTAGTTAAATCAGGAACAATCTGACCCAGCAATATACGATATGTGAGGACCAAGTCATCCCGAAGCCGCCTGTAATACATGGAAAACATATTCAAGTTACGTAGCCTCTCTGGGTACGTCAGCTTCTTTAATCCGTGTGCCATTTTCGTCCCGGACCGCAGGACTCGTTTAACTACCATCTTATCACGAACCAAGCATGAAGGACAAGCCCGAACGCTGTATTCCAAGTGCGGCTTTACAAAAGCCGAAAATAGTCTAACGAACATTTCGGTGGTCATGATCCCGAATGATCATATGCTCACTCATATGGACTACATCTTAGCTTTTATACCTTTCATTAAAACGAAATGTGTTAACATTCCAAAAAAGCTATACCTGTATGCATATTTGATCACGCCTTTACAGGTGTGTCTCGTTTTACCGAGAATACACCATTTAATTATTTATTTATTTATCTGCGGATTATCCGCAACATGTTGAAACCTTTGCGAGCAGATGTCGTCCAGTGTTATCTGAACTTAAAGTCGGATGAAAGCAAAACATCGAGGTCAGCTTTGAGTTGAACTCGCGGTACCTCGTTGCCGCCAAGCAAATAACGCGTTGGCGGGTCATTCGGACCAACGCGTAAAACGGAACATTTCCCTAAATTAACGGGCAACTGCCACAAAATTGGCCAGCCCCAAAGTCTATCCAGAGCCCCTTGTAGGGTCAGTGGACCAATCGGATCGTCTATCGTGAACCGGAGTTTTAAGTCATCCGCAAACATTATGGATGGCACGCACAATTCATCAGGTAGGCCATTAACGTATAAAGTGCAGAGAACGGGGCCAAGAACCGAACCTTGAGGAACGCCGTTGAGAACACACTGGCGGAAGGACAGACTTGAACCCACCCACACACACATTTCCCTTCCGATTAGGAAAGCTGAAATCCATCGTAAGGCTGGTCCAGAAATACTACAGGAATTAAGCTTGTACAAAAGGCGCGAATGTGGAACGGTTTCCAAAGCTTTGGAAACGTCAGTGAACAGCACGTCCACTGCCTTCCCGCAACCAACGGCTTCTGCCCAGTGTTCACGAGCGGGTAACAAGTTAGTAAGGCAAGAATACCCCTTACGAAAGCCGTGCTGAGAGGGATTAAGTGCCTCAAACGCTTTCAAATGTCCTTCGAGAGCGTCCCTCACGAGCTTTTCCAATAACTTGATAAGCACCCTCGTTAAACCGACCGGTCTATAGTTATCAGGGAGGTGCTTATCCCCTTTCTTAAAAATGGGGCGAACAATAGCCTCCTTCCAGTCCTTGGGTAGGGAACCGCCTCGTAGATACTTCACAAAAAGTTGCATAACCGTACGGCAAAATTCATCAGCCAACTCGTACAAGTGTTTGGGATGAATAGCATTCCCACCTGCAGCGTTATTGGGATTTAATTGCTTCAGAAGCCGGCGCACTCGAGCCTCCGTTGTAGAAACCTCCCCCAAGTGGCAGCCCTCAGAAACGTTTGCCTGGAGACTGATATGCGGCGACTGTGGCTCTAACATAAACGCCAGCATACTGTTCTCCGAGCAAACAAGCTTTTTCGTGATCCGTGACAACATCAGTGCCGTCAGGGCCAAAAAACACAGGGATGCACGAGTTCATGTTGCTTCGCCTTTTGACATAAGCGAAGCGTTTCGGGTTGGATGAGGCTATACGAGCAAACTGTACTTCATACTGTAGACGAGCACATCGTAGACACTTCCTGCAGGCATTTCGAACCTCACGATATCGTTTGAAGATGCGTAATGAAGGAGCAGGTAAGTAAGTACGTCAACACCTGGCGCGTCGGTTGAGTTGTTTGCGTTCAGAAGAATCAAACCAGGGTGGATTTTCCCTAGTTTTATTCTTGCCAGATAGTGGTATATGGGGGAGAGTGCTCACTCAAGTATGATTTAAATCTGTCCCAGGCCTTTTGAATGTCGTCACTTTCCAAAATGACAGAAGGCGACTTTTTGGCCTTGGCTTTCATTGGCTGGAAGTCCGCGGGCCATATATTTGGAACTCGGTCGGGAGGATCATTAGTCTGACGACTAAGGGCGCACTTAAATGAGAGACATGCGTGGT